AAAAATTTTAATTTTTTTTTTTTTTTTTTTTTTTTTTTTTTTTTTTTATATATTCATTATTAAGTAAAGTTCTTTTAAATTAACATACGTTTAACAGTAAAACTTTATTTTTGCCTTTGTAATTAATATTATTTTATATTATTTTAATTTATTTATTTTTTTTTTTTTAATTTTCAATACAAATTAAGTAAATATACATATATATACATCATACATATGTTCTTTTTTATTTTTGAATAAATATTATATAAATATGTGAAAAAAAAAAAAAAAAAATACGGGAACAATAATACATGTAAGCTATAAATTATTAAATAGTTAAATAATAGAGTTATTTAGTATAAAATTTTATTCATTATTGTTGTGATATAAGTAATTTATTTTTTTTTTATATAAGGTATCTTTTAAAAAAAAAAAAAAAAAAGTGGAAAAATAAAAACATGCGTTATTTTTAAGTTACTTTTTATGCCTTTTTAAAAAAAGAGAAAAAAATCATTTTTTTATTCAAAAATATAATAAATAAATAGAAAAAAAATACATATAGAATTATTCATAAGCACGTACACTTTTATGTTTTTTATTTTAATTTAATTTTTTTTTTTTATTCGTTTTTAAGATTGTATTTTTATTTTGTTTTATTACATAACAAAAGGTTCTCACACAAATTTCATGCACATACGTACAGAAGTTAATAAAAATGTAATTTTTAAAAAATAAAAACATTTAAAGAGTATTAAATCTTTATTATATATTATACATATTAATCTTAACATTTCTAGTTTAGTGTATTTCACAATTTTTATTTATATAAAATTTATGTGAATTTTTATTTTTTTTCTTTTTAATACCATAAACAAAGTTTTAATTTTTAATGATTTTAATAATCTGAAACATTATTATCTTATGAAATTATCTTTGATTTCTTTGTTTATTTTTTTTTTTAATATATTTTTTTTAAACTCTTCGATGAATTACCAAAAAGGAAATTATAAAATACGTTCTAAATAACATAAATTTTTTTCTTTATTTGTTAATATTTAAAAAAAAAAAAATTGTCTGATATCATATATATTAAATTTTCTATTTTTTACAAATAATACATTGGCATTTGAAGTACTTTTAATCAATTAAAATTATATTTAATTTTTATTCTTTAGTTAAAGAATTCTACATAAAAAGTAAAATAGAAATATTAAAAAAATATATTTTAAATTACATTAAAATCTTTTTGTAGAAATATTGAATAAAAGTTATAAATAACATATTCTTAAAAATACAACTAGTGGCTTATTAAAAATTTTTATTTTTACTTAATATTTTTAAAAATTCTTCTAAAGTTATTTCATTTTCTATCAAAAATAGAGTATTTCTTTAAAATACCATTAACACAAATAAAAAAAAAAAAAAAAAAAAAAAATGAAAATATAAAGAAAATAAAAAGGAAATTTCAGTAAAATTGAATTTACATAATATACAACATAAATTTCAAATTAAAAAGATAAAACATAGAATAAAAAAAATTAGAATAAAAACCATTTACAGAATATTACTTATATACGTTATATATATATATATATATATATATATATATTTTAATCTTTTAAACAATTTATTACGTTTATTATCTTTTTATTCATTTAAGATTAATAGGAAAATAAGTTTTAGAATTTATTAATGAATAAAAAATATCTTTAAAGGAGAATAGAAAAAAAAAAAAAAAAAAAAAAAAAAAAAATGAAANTATATATATATATATATATATATATATATTTTAATCTTTTAAACAATTTATTACGTTTATTATCTTTTTATTCATTTAAGATTAATAGGAAAATAAGTTTTAGAATTTATTAATGAATAAAAAATATCTTTAAAGGAGAATAGAAAAAAAAAAAAAAAAAAAAAAAAAAAAAAATGAAATTAGTATTTGTTTTAAATTTTTTTAGATATCTTTATCATTAAAAGGAAATGCTATTACTTTGTTTCATTTGGGAATAAATAGATTATAATATATTTTTTTTTTTTTTTTATTGCATATATTTTTGTTTTTAACCGTTTTTTCTTCAACTATTATTTTAAGAAATTTTATATCTCATTCTGATTTTTTTTTAATTAAAAAAAATATTTTTATTAAATAATAGGGACTCAAGAAGATAACATTCTTCTTTTTTAGATATTTTTCATGGATTCAACGAAACAAGTTATTGCAATAAAAAAATCAGATTAAGTTGAACGCTAATAATTCTTAATGAATTAAATATATATATTAATTTGTAAAATGGAATTTTTTTTCAAATGAATAATTTATTATTTTTAAATAAAAATAAAGAGAAAAAGAGAAACTTTTGGAAAAAAATGAATAAAAAATAGGTAAAACATAAAAATAAAGTATAAAAATATACAAAAAATTTAGAGATTGTTAATTTTAAGCATTCAGAAAATTAAAAAATAAAATAAAGGGGAAACATTCAATATTTTAATATGATGGAAAATGTACCTTTTGTAAAATTAAAAAAAAAAAAAAAAGAAAAATGATTTATTTTTTTATTTTGTCATTTAATAAGAGTATGATAAAAACAAGGAAATATGTTGACAGAATGATGCAAAAAAAAATGTTCAGTTCAAAACATATACCAATAATACAAATAAAAAGATTAGAAGATGTTAAAAGAATGATTGATTATATTGAAAATATATATTCAGGAAATAAAGAAAAAAAAGACAGTCCTAAAAAAATTTTTGTTAGTAATCAGATTGGTAATTTGTATATGACGAATGATTATGAAAACATTTATAATTATTGGAATTTTTTTCATTTTAAAAATAAATCAGAATTAAAAGAAAACATTATAAATAAAAAAAAAATTGAAAATTTAGATAGTATTAATTGTAATTATACCGATATATTTAAGTTTTGTTATAATGAAAATGAAGAGATTAATATTATGAAAAAAAATATAATAGGTATATATATTCCTTTGAATAAAAACATTTATTCTTTAAAATTAAATTATTTTTATTTTTTTAAAAATCTGAAAGAATTAATGAATGGTAAAATGTTTTATGAAATATATTTTATTTTGCCTAACTGTATTTTCCTTTTTACATTTGTTGAATTTTTTAAGAAATTATTATATTATGAAAAAATTCTTGAATATATTAAAAAAAAAAATAAAATAGAAAGACTTAAAATAAGAAATAAAAACATTTTACTTAAAAAAGTATATGAACAAAAAGTAATAACCCTAAAAGAAGAGATAAAGGGAGAATTTGAAAGATTATTTTTTAATAAAAAATACACTAAGGTTATTTATGAAGATTCAATAGAGTTATGTTCTTTTTTATATTATTTTTTAAAAATAAATGCAATTAATTTTATAGATTTGCATCATTTATATCAATATATTATATCTTTGTATGGATTAAAAATATTAAATCAGAATATATATTCTGTTATTTTTATTTTATTTCCAAATATTTATAATAACACATTAACATACGAATATAAAATAGAAGAAAATGAAAAAAGAGAAATAAATAATTATAAAGAAAATAAATTAAATTCAGAAGAAAATAATATTAGTTATATTAAAAATAATAATTTTAACATTTTAAATGATAGCTTTTGTAAAAATGATCATAATAGTAAAATTGAAAGGTTTCATGTACATAATAATAATAATTTTAATGATTTTGATAAGTTAAGTTATAAGGTTGTAAATAAAAATATGATTAATGAATTAGAAGCAAATGGTTTAAATAATAATAATAATAATATAAGAAAAAAGAAAAAGAAATATTTTCAATTTAAAAGGAAAATTTTACATATATATAACTCTAATGATAATAATGAAACATTAATTTTTGAAAAACAATTGATAGAAATTTTATATTTATTACCATGCACACACAAGTTATTAATTAAATATAAAGATTTAGAAGGATATAATATATGTTATAAAATGAATGAACTAATTAAAAATTACAACTTATTAAATAGTTTTTCGAATAAATATATTGATATGAAAGATAGATTATCTTCTTGTAATGCTAAGATAAAAAGAAAAAAAAAAGATGAAGAATTTAATGAAAATAATGTTTGTAGTAACAAACTTATTAATTCTTTTTGTAACACATTAAATATAAATGAAGAAATAACATATGATCATAAATTAATTATAGGAAAAAATATATATGCGTATATATATGAAATAAATAAAACTACTAAAAATATTATTTTCCGTTTTAATTTAAATTCAAAAAATATTATTTTTCGAAATATTGCATCTTTCAAAGATTCTTCTATTTATGAGAATAATAAAAAAGTAACTAAACATAAATACTTAATAAAGAATATAAATAATAATCTTTATTTAGATAACCCATGTATATTAAGTAGAAATGATAAATTATTTAATTATAAAAATAACATATTGGTTGGATTATTATATAATAAAGAAAATAATTTTGATTACTTTTATGATAAAAATGTAGGAGATACAATTTTGTGTACAATTTGTGATATTTCTTCGTGTGGAAAATATTTATATTTACAAAGGTATGATTCAAAAAATCTTATTTTTCATTTTCGAAAAAAAAAATATATTAATTTAGAAAAAAGTTATGATTATGATGACATTACAAAATTGAATGAAGAAATATTGAAGGAAGTAATATGAAATCTTGATAAAAAAAAAAAAAAAAACAAAAATAATTTGTATATCTTTTTCTTCTATAAGACAAAATAAAATCAGCATTGCTTATTATTGTACTCTTAATTTTTATTTACTTTTTTTTTTTTTTTTTATTGAAATTGAAAGTAATTTCATTTGTATAGGATTTTTTTTTGGATAATTTATTTGCATTTACAATATTTTATTTTTTGTTAAAATATGTTTTAAATTGCTTTTATTTTTTTTTAATTTAATTAAAACTTTTTTACTTATTTTTTAATTAAAACTATAATAATTTTGATAAAAAACTAAAATTCTTTTTATATTTATTAAAATAATTTCTCAAAAATTTATAGTTTTATAAAATATGTTAAGAATAAGTAGATACATTAATATTTTAATTTTTGTTAGAAGATTCTTTCTTATATATAAAGTTTTTGCGGTGAATAAAAAAATAATTTTTTTTGAAGTTGTTAAATAATAAAAATACGAAAAAAATAAAATTAAAATGACAAAAAAAAAAAAAAAAAAAAAAAAAAAAATNNNTTTTAAAAAAAAAAAAAAAAAAAAAAAAAAAAAACATAATAAACACTATAATCACTAAGAGAAAAGTCAAATAAAATAGTTCTAATGTCTTTAACTAAATAAATATAATTAAACATAATTTTTTTTTTTTTTTTTTTTTTTTGATAAGATAAATATGTTTAATTAATGAGTTACTAAAACATTTATAAAAGAAAAGAAAATATAAATAATAAATTCTTTTATATTCAAAAGAGATAATATTTAACTTCATAATAGACTTCTAAGAAGCTTAATTTTTTTAGTGAAAATATAGCATTTTAAGATAGTGGAGAAAAAAAAAATAAAATTAATCAAAAAAAAAGAAGAAATATCTAAAATTAAAATTAACTAAATTTAAGTGAAAATTTTTACAATAATTTGCATATATTTTCTTTTTCTATTAAATATTTAACTTTCCTTCATTACTCTATAATCTATTTTTTATCTTTATTTTTAAATCTCAAAAGTATCATCATCAAGACCTATATCTTGCTTAAAGTCATCATCGTCAATAGTTGAATCATTATTTAGAAAATTTTCATTTGAGTAATTACTTTGACTTTGGTCCATATAATTATTTTGATTTTCATCAACGTAATTATCTGTGTTACTATTATAAGTATCGTAATGCCTGGGACCAAATATTTGATCAAGCAATCTGTTACTTAAAAAAAAACCACAACCATATATAAAACTTTCATAAAAAGTATTTAATAATCCTCCACCTCTACTTAATTTGTTATTCTCATTTTGATTTGTTACATTATTTGTTGTATTTTTATATTGAGTTAAATTTTTATGAAAATTTTTTCTTGCAGTTTTTTTTGAATTATTATTTATAAATCTAGAAAAGTGCCTTTTAAAAATCAACATTTTCAATAAATAGTTTTACATTTAAAAATAAAATTATTGGAAATTTTTTAAGTGAATTATTTCCTATTATATTAATACATAAAATATAAAAATATATATTTTATTTTTTATATAAATTATCTGTGTTAAAATATAAAATAAAATATATGTAAAAAGACATTAAACACTCATATTTTTTTCTGTTTTTAGTTTCATAGAAAAATAAATTTAAAAAAAAAAAAAAAAAAAATCGATTATTTATCAAATAATTTTTTTTTTCATTAATTAAAAATTTTCTTTATTATGTAAGTTTGATAAGAAATGGCGCGATATATGAATTTTTTTTTTTAACAGTTAAAATTATACATCTTTAAGAAAAAAATGAATTTTTTAAAATGCTTGATTCATTATAATTAAATATATATATATATATATATATATATATATATATATATATATATATATATATATATATATATGTATATATAATTTTATAGTTTTTTT